ATCCTATTGCGGAAAGATATAACAGTAAGCACTTCTTCGAATTAAAATCCAATCATGTTGGAATTGCATGGAGAATTTCATCATGAGTTGACACCAGTTAGATAGCCACTGGAAAACCTGGAAGTACTGGACAGCTGTCTCGTCCTAGTTTGAGGCCCTTCATCAGGACGTACCCAACGGGGTTCGAACCCAGGACCTTCTGGTTACAATGCGAGCGCGTAGACCATTGAACTACTGGGACCCAATTCAACGGCCCAATAATTCTAACTTCTAACGATTCACGACATGGCGCGACCACTTCACAATGTCTTCTTCGATGAGTTACTGCCTCATCTTCAACCTGCTGTTCACTACTGGTCACAGCTTCCCACTAGAAATCCTCCGTGCAATCAAACAAAAATCCCTACAAAACAAATACTGGATAAATCATTTATCAAAATAAAAGAAATTCTTATGATTCCTTTGGTTTTACTATATCATTCAGTTATAACAATTTACGTGTGAAAATTAATTGCATACGTATAAAATCCCACATGAGGTCCAATTCATCTCCATTTATAATCCTGTTTAATTCTCCTTTAGTATTCCTTTTAATACGTTCTCGATATTTTTACCCTGTACGACTTACGATTTAAAGGATGGCATTTTCTAGGAAACAATCACATATTTGTATACAAATACTATAGGATCACTCTGGATTAAGAATACGTTGGGAGAGTAGATTTATTAACATGACCACAAATGATAATGTCATTCATCAAAATTGCATCTCAAATAGCTGAAGGTTGGGAGGAAGATAAAAGTCAAGCTTGTTGTACACTTGAATCGTTATCACTGCCTCATTCTAGTATTCTCATGATTAAAGTGAAAGTGAGTCATAACGTTTTATTTGGACAGAATGTGCGCATTTCGATGAAGTAGAAATGTAGAGTAGAATAATTTACGAGACACAGTATTATTGTCTGCTTTACATTAAGTAAATTCTATCATGGTCAGGATTAAACATGTCTTGAGGACGGTTATTCTGGGAAGCCGAGATAAAGAACACAAAACAGGGATTTTGTAAAGTCATCATTTGAGAAATTGTAAAACGTCTTTTCTGTTTTGAACAAGACGCACTCTTCATGTGATACTATCTAGCCGACTTGTGTGAAGTGAAAGAGTTCAGATTTGAATCTTGAAACTATTAACCAGGAAATAAGTGGTTAACTCGAACTTATGATAGTATTGCATAGTGCTAAGAAAGATCAATTATTAGAACAAAACAAACCTGATAAAAACACTTTTCTGTTGGTTCTTTCCAAACGAAATTCATTGCATAGAAGTTCATCATCAGGATTATATTTCGATACGGTTTCCTGTAGTTTTTTGTTTCTTTTTTCAAGGAGATCTATCCTACACTGCAATCGACTGATTGTCAGATAAAGTCGATCCAACTGATTTTCATCGTTCGATTTCTGACTGATGATTTGGTTAGGCTCCATACTGAAAATAAAATACATTTTTAAAGGTCAAGATAATTGTGAATAAACTTTGATTTAATATCTGAAATGTGTAGCAATTTATTTACTGGACAATTTGTAATAGAAAAACAGATAGCTGTTGTGCCTTCCCGATTCTGACTCTGATATACTCATCCGTGCTTCATGTAGTTGAGAATATACTGGCCAGCTACTTCTCTGCAAGCGATTTTATGACTCTCCGTAGTGGCGAAATTCATACTGGATGGTATGTGTATGTATTCAGACAGAAAAAGTGGTTATGCATTCAGTTTCTAGGAGCTTTATTCATCCTTTCGAGCTATAAGTCTTCTCGATTATTTCCCTTCTGAGAGTAAGATCAATTTCGTTTATGTCTTCGGATTTTCTGGTCGCTTTAGAAAGTTGATAGAAGTAAACAGGTGTTTTATATATTTGTTGCATCATTAAACATTGTATTCGTGAGCTTAAATCATGTTGGTTTGCTTTTATGAAATATGGTCTGTTTAAAATGAAATGGCGAATAGAGTGTGCAGTTACAGAGCATGTCAAATTGCATCTTGAAAGCTTTCTATAAATTACTTTTGCACTTAATTCAGTTCAATTCAGATTTTTTGACAAAGCAATTCAGGTTCGGAGAATAACTGAAAGTATGCATGAGCTCTGCTGTATAGATCCAAAAAATAAAGAATCAGATATGAAATTCTACTTCCTTTTCAATGAATCTGCAGACGACTGTCGGTTCTGAATGAAATCTACTCGAAAACCGATTGATTCTCGACAAACCTTATATCCGATTATATAAAAATGAATAACCACTTCACCTAAGTGATCGATATTAGTGTACACTTAGGCTTCTCCAACTATCTTAAATACAAAAATATGACAATAAGTCAAAGGAACAATTACTCTGAGTAGTCTAAATTAACTCACTTCGTAATCATAGTGTCATTTATTGTACCCAGTGAATTGATTGATTGTGTAGTAGACCTTGTGCGTCTTCTGAACGCTTTAGCTATGGATTTGCCCAACTACAAAAATGGTCCAAAGATTAAAAAAGTGTGCGAGGGTAAGAGATATGGACTCAATTTGTGGGTTTTGAAGTCAGTTATAATGAACTTCTAGATCTAGGATTGGTTGAATTCATCATCAGCAATAATAGGCAAAATACAAAACATCATTCTCAACTTGCATCATAAACTTAAGTGAACTTTTGTCAAAGCTAACAAGTTCGTCATTCAGCCATTTGGGTCTAATGAGCTTCAGTGTTGTGAATACGGCTAATTTGCAAATGCCAGCAAGCTTTGCGTTGACTTTATCCTAGTATGGTAATACCAGTTCACAATTCCCTGCAATCACTTTGCTGATCCTATTACAACATTAGTCTTATTTCAGGATTAGAAGAATATGCTTTTATTCGTCCAACAGGGAATTACTAAAACTAAGTTTGCTTATTCTATGTTTTACATACCCCTAAGTCCCCTAGGGTTTGGCCTCACACAAGCATATAACCCCATAACGACTATATTCTGAAGTTATGGAGCACTTTTGTATTTCCATTTTGTTATGAGGACTAAATTTTCATTAGTTGTTATCTCTTTGAACATTCCCATAAATTTAGTGCTTGTCTAAGTTTTTGCGAACCTATATATATATATTCATCAATGCATTCAAGTGTTCTAACTGTTGTCAACAGTCGGTCTCCTTTTGTTTTAAAGTGCCGGTGGTGTATCAACAGTTATGGTTGACTATTTTATCAACCACTGAAGTAGTTTTAGTTAGCACACAAGGTTCGTATCGCATACAGTCTACTCGCTTGTGTCAGTGGTCATATCATCATATTAGTGGAAATATATTTTAAATACAAGTAAATTTTCTACTGACCACCTGTCACCAGTTGAATTGAAGAAAGACTAAATCAGCTGAAGCTTTAGGGCTTGAAGTTGTTGGTCATGATTTTGGAAGGCCTATCTATAGTGGTGGTAGATCAGATTACTAATTTTATCTGTGTACGCTATGTAGTTTGATAATGGAATGTTCAAGAGTTGAATGGTTAGGCATTTTTGAGATTATAATGGCATGAAGGAAAATGGCACACAAAATGACAATTATAAGTTTCGAATAAAGTTTGACTAAATGCAAATTAATTGTTGTGAGAAGATACTTAAACGAAAATATTCAACAAAAAGGAGGTATTGGTAATCGAAGTACCATAATTTAAATTAACGACCTGCTTATCAATACTGAAAACTAACCAGATAGTTCTTCGTCAAACATTCATTCTATTCACTGTACTAACGAGCCAATCTGCAACTCCAGCCTAACTTCTTCATTTGAATTTAGTCTGACGACTGACTCATGAGTAATCCTAGTATTGCAGTAAGGAGTCAACATCTGACTGTCACCAGATATAGCTGGTGACTGCTGAACGAACGGCAGTCCTATTTGTGCTCAATCCAGCGATAACTAGTAACAACATGACCTATTTAAGTTCATTCTTGGCTCCACGTAGCACTATAGTGATGGCAGAAGACAGCTTCAATCATTTGACTTGAGACCATGTAGTCCCCAATGACCAGCTTAATGACTCTTCTCTGGGGCCAGGCACCCGAACTGTACATCCGAGTCTCCAGCTAGCACTATGATATCTCAAGTGTTGGTTTGTAGGGATTTGATTGGTTACAGGATTTCATCATGAGCTGACATTGGTTAGAGAACCATTGGAAAACCTGGTAGTACTGGACAGCTGTTTCGTCCTAGTTTGGGACTCTTCATCAGTACTCACCCACCAGGGTTAGAGCCCAGGACCTGAAGAGTCCCAAACTAGGAAGAAACAGGTGTCCAGTACTCCCGGGTTTTCCAATGGTTCTCTAACCAATGTCAGCTCATGATGAAATCCTGTAACTATGATATCTTTTGGATGTGTGTGCTTGAGGTCACTTGGTAGATAAAAGGAGTCAAGCGGTCAACCGTTAGTGAGTACTCAGAAAATGCAGGTATAATGATCATGAATCAGGTGGGTGAGTATACGACTAGTGAAGTAATTTTTGAGAGTATATTGGCAAGCTGAGTTCCCTACTGATTTTGTGATTCCGTGTTTTGTTTACTAGCTGGAAACATTAAATTATTCTTATACTGATAAATTTTTTTCCAAATGAAGGTCATTTCCAATGTTTCATGATCTTCAGTCGACAAAGAAGTTTGGCAATCATAAACCGTGAAGTGTTCTCTTTTTATAGATTAGGTTTTAGAACGAACTGTTAGACTTTGAAATGATGCCAGTGAATATACAATCTTCGTAGTGCCAAAAATATTGACATAACTTGAAGGCAGCTGTAACTGCAAATAAAACAATTGCACATTTAACAGAAAGTATTACGAAGATGATCAGAATCAATGGCAGTGTTTTCTGTACGCAAATGAATGATGGTTATCGTTATCTTAAGTGAATACAACAGATTTTAACGACAGCATTTTGTCAGTTTTAGGGGAGTCCATCAAGTTATTTAGTAAATTAAGCAGTCTTAGATTTCTGTGTTGTTTGAAACTTCTCTCCAATAAGATGGGTTTGTAGTGTTTTGCTGAAGTTTATTTTCAGCACACAACCATTGCTCCCTTTAGAAAGTAACAGTTTAAGGAATCATCAAAAGTTATCATTACAGTGAGAAAAAATTGAAGTTTACTATTGATTAACTTAACAGTGGCCTGGGAAAGTGACCGACCGTTAGATTAATCAGATCCAACATAAGGCTTCCAGTCGAGATCGGTAGGCGACTATGGAGGTTAGCCACCGACAGAACCTCCGTCTTTTATGCGTAATATCAATAGACAGTTGTAATATATAAGTCACTAACATATATTGGTAGTGGATTTTTATCAATCACTTTTCAGATATATATGCTTAAATACTATCGTTATTCTGGACAAAATATTTCCAAAATATACAGAATTTATCGCATAATATTTTTCCATCATTCAGGATCTTCAGATAGAGTAGCAAACTACGGTAAATCATGTGATACAGTGCTATTTGTTCTGAAGCACAGAATAATCCTTAACATATTTAACGTAAGTTACCTATTCCATGCTAAAAGGGACCGAATTTGTTAACTGGTTGGTAATGTCAAAAGAGGATGTACTAGATGTGCCTACCTCTTGCTTCTTGAAGCATTTCCTCCCTTAAAATTTTTATTCCTAATCGAAGACAGTAAAAAACTAAAGTAGACTGAAAGGAATGCTTTAAAAGTACCTTGTAGTAATCAGAAGAAATTAATTGAAATTACGTGGATACTGGACATACCAGCACGAAGTGGGTATAAGCAAAGGAATCGCAGTAGTGATTAAGATTTATGAAAGCGGAATTGATAGACATGGTGCCGCCATGGTGACCAGTCTTTATTATTTAACCTGAAGTCCTGTGTGCATGTGTGATAACTAACGTATCAGAAACTATGACTGAAAGCTCTATATTTCCTCTTAATGGAAATTTCACTCAATAGAGTGCTTTGTCATCGTTTCCACCACATTTCAGAGAGGCTACAACTTTATAAATCAATGCCACTCTCATTTTTTACTGTTTTGTCACCCAATAACATGATAGAGATGCAGAATAGTTCACCACAAATAACTTATGTTTCATAACATTAATTGCTCCATTTTTGAGCACAGATTGATATCAGTTAGAGAGCCATTGAAAACCAGGGACTACTGGACAGCTGTTTCATCGGTCTAGTTTTGAACTCATCGGCAGAAGCACCCACCGTCAGGGTTCGAAGCTGGGACCTTAAAATTACTAGGCAAGCTAGTAGAACATCCAGACACTGGGATCCAACTCCATGGACTTGAATTATTATTTTGTTATTTCATCAGTTGACTTCCCTAAGTGACTTAAAATTAGCGACTCAATTTAGACCTCAGAGGCCAAACAGTTTTACTGACAGTGTGAGTATAAGATGGAAGACGCTTGGATCACAATGACTACATCTCTTTCACGTCTTCAACTCTCGAACGTCAAACACACTATCTTCAAACGCAAAACAAACTGATGAGTATGTCTTCTAGACAAGTTAAAATTTTGCCCATTGACTGCGACACTTGCAGTTAATAAACGTCATGTAGGGTACACTGTATTTCCCTGTAGATATTTTGAATCATCTCTGTAGCCGAACTTTATTAATAACTTGCAGACAAATGCTCCAGCCAACTAGACTCCGTTTTGCACTTGGTGGCAGAAACTGGCTGTTAAGGACCACTTGCAGAGTCACTCTTAAAACTCGAATTAATGACGCACACACTTATTTTCCCAACAATTTTTCCTTTATTTTTAAGTTGGTGAGAGTCCTTTACTTCCAAACAACTGGAAAACGTCATCTGTATAAATAGAAAACGGTTGAAATCTGAACTCACCCATCTGGGATGTTTAGTATGGACTGCCTCTGTTTCCAACGTTGAAGCATTGTTCCCAATAGAATAGGAGCAGTTGTCATGTTTCTTTGAGTCTGCGTGCATGGTTTGACTGCCGGCACTTGTGCCACTTGCAACGCTACTCAAGCTTACAGCATCTTGATTGTCTGAAAAGTTTTTAAGATGAAGAGGCGAAGAGAGATTAAAAGTCCATTATATATATATATATAAATGAAGGAAAAAAGTTGTGTGAGTAACTTGATATGATTATGAGCAGTAGTTTGTGCTCGAAACGTCATAAGTTAATATTACTGTACAACACTGTGTGATTTATCAAAATAAAATCTTATCCATAATGGAGTTATGCTCTACCACAGTGCCCAAGTTTTATATTTATATCAAAAGATTAAAAGGTTTTTTATTGAAATATAAGATATTGTGCTTTTTTAGAATAATCCATTCATCATCTGATTGCCTGTTACTCATTGATATAAGAGTGATTAGCTTTTTATTTCTCCAATGCTTAGACAGTAATCTGTATTTGAATGCAAAGTGATGGACAAAGTGAAATTCTGTTTGGCACTGTAAATGCATCATGACTCTCTCGTTAAATCCCTTAATTCCATGGTGTTCTCGTGAGTACTGAGGCCTTCTTTATTGCACATGGTTCAAAATATTTCGGAATGCTTCTTCATGATAGGTGGAAATCGGTTGTGTAAGTAATAAACATCAGGCAGATGTATGCAGCTCATGTTGGTCCATAGTGAGAACATGTGACTCACGTCGGTTACTTTTCCAGAAAGATCTAGTCAGAAAAGATGTTGAATACAAGGTTTTAATAACTAAGTACTGTGTTTTCCTCTTTCATGTGTAAGTCTCCATGATGAACTGTGGTGCTTTTAGCAACAGACGCATATTAACTGTGGTTGAACATCTACTTTCTAAGAACAGCGACGTATACGCTTATCACAGCAACGATAAATATTCGAAGAATCTAAACCAAAATCTTCTCTGACTATTCTGTAAAAGTTTGAAGTAAACAGAGACTAGTTCAACCGCTTGAAAACGTTCCTGTCAAATGCACTGAATGCATAAAATGAAGTGAGATGGATGGATGGATGGATGGATTGGGGGATGTAAAAAGTGAAGCTTCACCGAAGGAAATTAACTACGATTACTTCTCCTTTATACTTCTGATTTGACCTGGACATGAGGTTCGTCTTATGTTATGCTCTGTTGGTGTTTTACAGTTCACTTCTACATTCCATTGTTGCTTTGATACACGTAACTCAATGGTCACATACTCTGACATGTTATTTATCAGCCTGTGGGCTGTGAATTCAATCTCGTAATCATCCTGAATAGTGAGTGCACTTCTGAAATGTTTATACATTTAACGGAACTACATTTCCAAGTCTAATAGCTTCGAATTAAATAATAATGGAATATAATTAGCTTAAAATTTATAATGAAGCTTTATGAATCCCATTGTGACATTTTTCGGAAGGTGAAGAGTCTGAAAGTTCTCTAAAATGTTCTTTGTACATATTTATCAAGTTTCTTATGCAATTAATATAGAGAACAATAAGTTGGTCCCAGAATCCAAACTCACCTTGGTACATAGCATCAGGAAGTGTACGACAAGACGTCGACCTTGGTGGTCTTGGTTGAAAAATGCTGGCCGAGGACTTGCTGTCCTTATCTTCACCGCGTATATGATTTATAATGCTTTGAAGCTCTTGTATCTCAGAGTTCTGACAAAGAAATCGTAATTAAATAGGCAGACAGTTATAAACGTCAAATACCAAATCAAATGAGCGGTTAATGTAAATATTAGAAGAATAAGGATTATTCTGAGCATTCAACAAAGATGGTAACTAGACAGGTTTTGAATATTCGTCATGAAGATAGATATTCTGTTAAAATAATAACTGTCAAGATACTGTCATAACGTAGTACGATAGAACTAATCCTGAAGTTTCAGTTGGGCGCACTTCCTTCGATACGTCATCTATGCTTCAGCTTAGACGTCTTATAACGTCAATGTCGAAGTATTTGAATTCCAACGGTTCAATACTGTGTTTTCGAAACCCAGATTTCTGATATATTTGTCATCTTATGGACATGTGCAGCTGTCAGAAATTTAAGGGCAGAATTTATTGTAACTATGGAATATTGCATTGCCTATTACTTTTACACTACTAAACTTTCAAACAGGTAACTTTCGGACGTTGTCGTCTTCAGTTATAGTGTATTATGATATGTCATTCCATATCATGGTGCCTTCTCATTGTGGAATTTGTTATTTGGTGGTTCAGACAGAAGGTTTAGTATTGTGACTGTTATGGTCACTGTTTCAGAATTATGAATCTGGAGACAGTTCATAAAATAACTCAGAAACGTTAAATTGTTTGTATGTTGTGCATGCTTATTTGATCCTAAATGATACATAACTATAGAACCTGATTTAGAAGTTATCGATAAGAATATTCTTTGTTCACTAATCCGTCTTTCATAATTTTAGTGGGCATTTCAGACCAATCAAAGGAAGTAAACTTTTAGACCTGATGTTATACCTATATATGTATACCCTTTGTTCCTATCATGACGTCCGTAAACTCTCCTATCGAATTAATTAAAATTTACATTTTCAAGAAACTAACTTTCATAATTTCTAAAGCTTCAAGTTGTTCAATTCGATCCGTCATATTTGCTACATTATCTTTTAAGGCTCCAATCATAATATCCTGTATAGAAAAGAAAACACACAAATGAACACTTAAAGATCATTCAGCATTAACTTTCAGTATCACTAGTTCTTCGTAGTAGTACAACCTGTACTGTGTTTCGATATGCATAGCTGGTCAAATTTCACTGATCTAATTAATAATGTTGTCTCTAAACTTAGTGTTTGAGTTTTATAGAAAAGGTGTATAGGATGCAGTTTCTAGAAAGAGAAGAATTTATTTCTTCTGATATAAGTAGAAACTTTTCAAAACTATAAACGGTTACAGCAAATTTTGTCACACAGATACTCATAAACTGCTCCTAAAATTTTTCATAACTCTACTTACTTATATGAATTTAACCGGAGTTAAATATGAAATAAGCGCGCGTGCATTTCACCTACCGTTAGAAGTCAGGTTCAACGTCGCTAAATATTTCAGTAATTTCTCCATTAAGTAATATAAGTGCTCAATACATGCAAGTGAATAGTATTGTTTTCAGTTGGATTTCACCAGCCGTAACTCTAATATACACTACTTTACAAATAAATATATTCCAGTCACGGTGATTTGGCAACAGGATGTTAAGATTGTGCAGGTAGATTGTGCAATTAGTCATAATAATAATAATAATTTTATCAGTAACAAAGGTTAAAAAGTGAAACAATCTCTGATAACAAGAATAATGAAAAACAGTATAACTAGACAAACAAATATTCAGGTAGAATTAATCGATAAAGGCTTTGAAAAAACAAATGGTCAGGTTAAGTAATGTTAGATTGTAAGGGAAGTAAATAAACTGCATTTTAATGCATATGTCAAAAGATTAAGGAATTATAAGAGAGGGATTGAAAATATATGTGAGCAGTGATGACATCAGTTATTTAGTTCTTAATAGTCTAGTAGAGGGATAGTGGTTATATGAATTTCTTTTGAATTCATAGTTTAGGCTCAATAGCTCGAATGTCTATTGCCTCAGCTATATACAGTAGACGAATACAGAGTCCATTAAAAAAACACATTCTGTGAGACGTGATGAATCACCTTGAATGCTTTCTTTTTCTCCATCAATGACCACTATCAAACAAATATGAAAAACGTAGCCACCGATGCTTTTTGTGTGCAGTTGCCAAACCACAATCGGTATGTTGGCTAATCTGTCTAGTAGCACACCCAACATAACTCTCCCCATAGGAGCAGTTGACTTGAGAGATGCTCATAGAGGCGGTTAAACTATCTAGCTTTACCTTCGTATGAGTCCTAGTCATTCGTCAGTTAGAAAATGACAAACAGAGGATCGATGTGTAAAACGTCTCTGGGACAAAATCTCACTTCGCAAGCCCCCATTAAACTGTAAATTAATAAACAGAGGTTTCATCCCTACTGTCATATTCCTAGGTTTTCTATGCAATAATGTCATGTTTCCTAATAGAACTACTCATATACCTGATCTTCGTCAAGGAATAATAAATATATTCAAATTCCTTTTGTAAGTGACAATCCATAAGACATTCCATAACATTTCTTTATAAACAGTGGGCACATAAATAAGGAAATGCGTGTATTGCCCTGTCAATGTGCTTTTCCTAAACACACCTCTCCCAAGTGACCCATTTTCTCGCCTACTTAGCAAGATATCCAGAAAATGGTCAGTGACTTAATTCATGCTAATTTTTGTCTCACCAGCTATATTGTTTTTCCTCACTGGCATCATTATCCTTACAGTCAATGTGCAGTTTAGCACTACGCTCTGATTCAGATCTTGTTAATAGACTCGAAAGCAATGGTTCGTAGTGAGATTTCATATAAGAATAGAAATTTGGATAAAATCTTTCCATTGCACACACTATTTTCACCTGAATAGCTCAAAATGTCTCAATGGGATACGGATAATTATGCAATAAATTCCACTTCAGAGATAACTAATTAATTAATGTGACACTCCCTTGATTACTGCTCCTTCAAGTGAGACAGAAAATGTGTAAAAAGACAAAAATGTATTTAAATGTGTGTGTCTGTGGGAATCTACGAATCTATTCCTAATAAGTTCATCATCATATGTCAGACGTGTACTGAAGTGAAGTAGTTTGCTAACGAACGCCTCATTACTTCATACATATGAAGCGAAGTCAACTAAAATAAGTTTTCAGGAACATTTTCTATATAAACTAAACCTCATTCTTGGTAGTCAGAAAGATTTAGTGGTTGAGGGGAAAAGATAGACTGCAAACTGCAAGCAATTACTGCAACAGTCGTTGAACTGGACCCTCAAATGTTTTGTTTTGTTTCTTTTGTAGAGAACAACAAATACCCGCAAAATTAGCTATGACAACTGGTGGTTGAAGTGATTCTGAGTTGTAGATGAAGTCGGTTGTATTCTAGTAGTCAGTAAAGTGTCAAGTTAATAAGTCAAACATGATAAGTTTGTACCCTTTCGTCACTTAGGCTTTTTCATCTTCAGTCATTACATCAGTGAACTGTTTTAAAATAAAAGATCAAAAGTGCTGGTTTAAACTCACTCTAAGTGATATCTCAGCTGACATTGTGGAGATTTGTTCATAAAGACTTTTAGTCTTCTGATAAAGATCTTCAGTCTGTAAACAGAAAGAAGGAAAATTGTACATGTCGTGATCAGTGAACAAGAAACAAAATGCACAAAGTGTACATATCATTTGGCTAACTTTCTTGTTATGGTGACTGTTATAGTCCTGTGAGTTCGATTCAGCAGAGAATCTTGTTATTTTCTTCAGGTTTTACTACAGAGTTATGGTTTTTATTGCATGTGTTGAACTTCTTCATCATGTTTTCATGTAGCGCTCAAATACTTGTCCCCTTTGTACAAAATCGATTTGTGAATATGACAGAAATAATTCAGTTGGAAAGGTAATCAGAGATTTATTTTATTCAGGATTCACTCCTTCACTAGGTATCTCTCATGGCATTTCCTCTTAATCAATCAATCCTATGAGAATTATCAGAGCTGTATCCTGTGTACTTTGTGACTTATTGTCATGGTATTTCATCAGCTGCTATAAGCTCAATCTGAAGTAGTATCCTGGTATTCATCCCACCAGTTAGCAGTTCCTATGTTTTTCTACAATCAGATTTATTATTATCGTCAGGGATCTCCAGCTAGTATTTCCAAGTAACTAGAGTGTTATCATACAACTGTGTTTTTCTCACTTTGCGTGGATTTCTCACTTATCATAATCGAGTATGATTTCAACAAACACTTTGTCATATTCGGGATTTGTCGGAATAGTTGGCCTGAATTTAAGGGTTAGAACAGGACATAGGATTAAGGGAAAATCATGTATTTGAAGTCATCTGTTCCACAAAACTAGAATGCTTAGTTAGTAAGTAGATATGGTTGATGAATTTATACGCAGATCTATATGTTTACTGAATTCACGTGGTAGGCTGTCCTCCATAATTCAACCACACATGTTTACTCATAATAACTTTTGAATGCTGTAGTGAAATTCAGGTAGGTAAGATATTCAGAAACTGGCTCCTTCATTCTATGGTGCAAACAGTGAAACCGCCTTACTATTCCATTTTGTTTTAATCAAGTCTAAGACAGTTTTACATATCTTTTATATTAATGTCAATCATATAACCTAGCTCGAACACAAACAATAACGCGCTTATCTTTTGTAGGTAGAGTTGACATTTTTATCAACTAGTCCTCAGAATATTTTGTAGCTCCTTACCTACTTATTTACATACTTACTTATTTAATAATTGAGCATTTTGAAGACAGAATAAGAATTTTGATGTATGCATGCTATACCAACTAATTAAGTTGTGAACAATGTGTATAATTATTATGATGAGGAAAACGTGAAAGAGGAGAGGGAGTACACAAATCAGTCGTATTATTCAGGAGAAAAATTCACTTTCGTTTGCATTTATTGCTGTGCATGTGGAGTGGATAAGTAATGTAAATGTCACTACCTTCATCTAGACACTTACGTCGTAAATATCGTAGATTGTTATTGTATACGACAAGAACAATACTGTAAAAACCTTTATCATACTTTTATTTCACTAACCAGGCTAACAAGAATTATATTGGGTTGAACGAAAAGAAGAGGATTTTAATACATTTCATTCGAAGTTCTTATGAATTTCCCTTTATCTACACAAATAAATTCTCGTGATGCATGGTAAATGAATGTAGAAATGATGAGACTTGCGATTCAGTGCTGTTAAATGCAAATTTTCTCATAGGCGAGATATTGACACATGTTTGACAAACTGAACTTACTTCTTCTTATACTTCATAGTCCACATGACCTTTGGACCGGTCTGCCTCAAATTTTTCCACCCTATCTGCATATGTATGCTTATTCCAACAACCGACATTATTTCACACTTATAACGTCATGCCAACTTCTGCCTCTTTTCTAACGTCAAATTAGTCATCCCTTCTAGGCTGTACCTTACATTACGTAATGAATGTTTCGAGAACAAAGTTTACCAGTATCCAGACGGTCTAATGATTTCTTAGTTAAATATAAATACGATTGTACATGAATCGTCGTAGAGAGAATTCTCTTCGCTGTTTACTTCTTTTCTCACGACTGAGTAATATTAAGCACCTGAGTCATTTAAAACTCATTGATATAATAATAAATTGAAGATGAGAGAGTTTCCAAAACCAAACTTCATCATTTCGAAAGTCTAAAATCTTAAGTCGACCGATTGAGGAAATGCAGTTTTCCATTTTAAAAAGATTACAGGTTAATCTGAAACATTCCTAAGCAAATAATCATCTCAAAACTTTACACTTACCATACTGATACTGGTGTTGCTAACTTTCGCTGCGTCCACAACCTGCGTAACAGCTAATATAAAGAATGCAAGGTAGACATTAAGATTGATATGTTAGGGTTAAAACTGTGCATTCACTTCTTATAGCTTAAAACACAAATGATAAAAGATCATTACCACTATCGTTCAGTGCACATTCATAATTGTGTAAAACTGTTGGCCTACTTAAAATTTGCAAAGTAGTATACCTCAACCGATTCAAATATGTGGAGTCACAGTGTTACTAGATTACGGAATATCTCGTTAATTTCAACATGGACCAGAAGCATAGACAAAGTTGTAGTACATTGAAACAGTTGTCTCTCCACAGAATATACAAAGTGCATCTCGTATAAAAATCATAATTGGTAAGAAATGCAGCCTACTAAAACCAAGCTTAGTTTCAATTTAACCGTGTTAATCGTCATCCCTCAAGGCCAAAAACGTGGAGTTTGTGTTATAAAACAGTGCCGACTCAATAAATATTGGAAATCCGGTAGGACTGGACACTGTTACTCTTCATGTTAGAGACTCGAATGTTATTTGGAAATCCAGCCCCTGTGAGTGAAGTCTTCTACCTAGTATTTCACCACTCGTTAACTGTGGTGGAATCATATATCCCATGGTTACCGTTCATAGCTATAAGTTAGTGAGCATTTCAAACTTAGAACTAGAAAGCTCTACAGAGCATGACAGATTTATGTGGTTGCTTAGCTGATATGAATTTCTAACAAAAGTGTTGTGAAATCAGTTGACTTATGTGGCTGCGAGCGATTCGTCATGCAATAGTCACTTATGGTTTTACTACATGATGAACACTGTTTCTCGTCGTCTTCCCTGTGCTTATCATGCAGAAACTGCTCAACAATTTACCTGAGAGCACATGAATGTCATTTGACGCTCATAAGCTGAATTAAATTATCTAAGATTCTCACACAGTATCATATTATTTAATTTCTTTTTCATCATAGTACTGCTTATTTTATTCCTTCGGTGTTGATATAGTAAAGAATTTAGAACCACCGAAACTTATTTCAAGATACCTTCTCGGACATCTAGGTGACTGACTGCTCAAGCAGTCAGTTGAATCAACAAGTTGTCCTACACGAAAACTGTTTCCAGAACTGATTTGCAAATTCAACTATCAGGCTCTTCAGTGAGAAGTAGATTGTCTAGTGTGTGTGTGTGTGTGTCAGAAAGGCCTACTACAACACAGGAACTTAGACACTAATTTGATCAGGACAAATTGTCTTCTAAGGAACTTACCACTTGATTCCACTGTCGTTAATAAATTTCTTCTATTTATATGATGATTTGAATCAAGACCTGAATTACAGTCTCCTCTTCTTTGCATACCATAACTTGAAGTACAAGGCTTTGCAGCTACGTCATCTAGTGAACCTACATTTGCCATCAAGGACACAGTTGGATAAGGGAGCTTCACCTGACTTAGAGGTCCTGTACCCACTGCGCAGTTAGGAAATGAGACATTAGTCTTCTTTGTAACATTCTGTTGATTACTGTAATGTGTATGTAAGTCTTTATTTTCGCGTTGAAAAAGATTCTGTAAGCTACATAGTTTTGGCCATTTTGCCTCTTGGATCTGAGCCGTCCTATTGAATTTTTGAGAAATTTGTGTGAAGCTGGGAACTCCATGACTCGTCATAGTTTGGTTTTGTCCAATAAACATGTTTATCTGATTATCTCCAGATAGGCCTTTGGGAACGACTGGTTTTACAGGAGAATTTGGAAAATTTGAATTATTAGTCGTATAGGCTGCAGAATTACCAGGATCATTAAGTATTCCAAAATTGCTTTGAGTTGAGAAAATGGCTTCTGTATCTGAAAAGTAACCAGGCTCCAATAGGTTTCCCGAATAAAGGCGACTGTTGACTGGAGGATGTGTTTTTGAGCAGTTTGTGACATCCATCAGCTCTTCTATAGGTTTGCTACATGGTAAAAATTGTGACAAGTTCCTGTTTAAATCCGAGTCAATTTCCGCTTCAGTTAAACTTTCACGCTTTAAATGAGGCAATGTAATGTCTAATGCAGCATATTCACTTTCGACATCTGAAAAGTACTTTCGATCCCAAGCCGCATCTTCCAAACTTGGATTTGGGCTGAGTTTGGACAGAGATGATAGAAGTCGGTCAGGATCATTTGTTACGTCAAATGGTTTGTCGTATGGATTCTCAGCAACCTGACTGGATAGGCTTTTTGATAAAGTACAAGTATCAGACTTTTCACTGACTTGTGCGAAGCTGATTGGATTGTTGGTAGACGATATCCTCTTAGAATTGTCCAGTTCGTCTTCAGTGGCGATAATTTTAGGAGAGCCAGTTGGTTTGGAGTACCTGAGGTGTATAATCAGAGAACAATGTTAGCTTAGAAAGAAGGGTAGGTCAGTAATGAAATAAAGAATTCATTGCAATTTTGGGTTTTAAACTGTACACTTTAAATACCTTTTTTAATTTAGCTCAGTGAAATATCCCAGTGATTTGATGATTAATCATTTCATTTGATCAAGTGTCTGATAACGACCTCGATACTGATTTCATATTCCTGTTCCCCTTACTTACGTATCAATGTGCGTTTTAATTCTTTTCAAGGTAATTTCACTTTAGAAAGAACTTTAGAAAGCACCAGGATCCCTACTATCAAGGAATGAATTTTTGAAGGTCGTGTTTTTTATAATGTATCAGCGAGTACAAGGATATTTGAACAATAAGACGACTTATTCTATATTCACAGTGGAGGTTACATGAGCACGATTCCATGTTTTGCTGAACCCAATCAATATTAGTGTTTAAGAAACTTTCAGTCTTCGAACTGTGTACAGTCCGAGTTGTTAGATAACATCCTCAAAGTACAGTGTGATCCGATGACTGCTTTCAGAGAACAGTGGTATTGTTAATATTGAAGGGGAATTAAACACTTATTTTGATGAACTTGCTGAAATCATAGACATTAGAATTTGGATGTGAGTTTAGTGTTTGTTCGCCTTTCAAAGTGACCGTAGCAAAACAGTTAAGTGTCGAATAAAATCATAATCTCCACTAATTAAGGCATGCAACATCTCTGTCACAAATGTGATTCTTGTGTTATTCAAATTCTACAGAAAAAATATACATACACCATAAAAAATATTATAAACAGGTAATCAAAAACGTTGTCTACTTACCTATTCGATTCGCTTGTATCAGAAAGTGAAAATGGCATCATACTTTGGATAGTACTTGCAATTATATTTTCGACTTCATTTGATTTAAGTCTCCTATCTTTAAGACCCATGCAAATTTTGTTTGGCCGTTTAGCTGTTGTCATATTTCCTAACGGGGGTGTTGGATCCTTCTCCATATTGTGTAGATCTCGTTTCGCAATTTGTATTGTAAGCGAGCTAACTGTGCTATCTACCTGGTCGGGTACTTGAATAATAGCATGAGGTCTATAATGCCATTGTTGTATATTGACATCATGTTTAGGATCAGGGATATGAGAGAGATCAGGATTCAGGTTAGCTCTAGTATCTCTCTGATCAGTTATCTGACTTATCGTATTAGGTTTGTAACGCTTCTGTGTTATATTGACGCCATTTTTAGGATCAGGAATTTTGCAGAAATCGGAACTCGGACTTTTGTCTGGCTTTTCAGAAAAAACTGGAATTCTTGAAGTTGCTTTAGGTTCCTGTTTCCTGTGAAGAATAGAGTCAATGAACGTCCCTGATGCGGGAGCAGCTGGATCTGAAGGGGAAGTACAAGCACTATCCTTAGAATAAGATGAAGACGATATGCCACTGTCACAGTAAATCCTGTCATCTCCGGCTGAGAGACTGAAGGTGGCGGAGATAGAATTAGGTATATTACATCTTTTCTTTGTTGTGTCTTTATTAATTACCTTGGAACAATTATTTTGCGATGTATTTACAACAGTTGGTATATTAGAATTGCCTGATGCAGTCTGAGAAGTCTTATTTATAGAGTGCTGCTGAAAATTAGCATTGTCTTTATTTTTCACTGTTTTTAATCCATACTTAGAGTCGCAGAAATTCAAAGACGTAGTACTGCAGGATGATTTCTTGGAAATTGTTTCTTTTATACTGTCAGTGTATATGGTTTTAAAATCATTTTTCTTAATCTTATAGTCCAGAAACTGAGGAATTTTGATATTTTCATTTTGACTTTTTGTATCAGAGTAAGGTTTTGTGAAGTAGGAAGGCTTAGATGTTTGAGTATTGACAGAGGCTTGACTTGCTCTGCAAGAACCCGAACGACCAATCCTCTCAAAATGTTTGTTCTTCCCATCAGACTGTTTTTCACGTTTTACTGCTACAGTTGTAAAACAAAAAAATATAGGGAAAAACGTCCTGACTAATGTAGGTAATATTTTATAAGGAATGTGGATGTATGTGGGAAATGTTAAACAGGATTGCTGGCAGTCAAATTAATTTTATCGAATTTCTACATTTTATTATTTTCCAACGGGATATTGTGTTTGGAACTCTGTGCGTTCCCAAGGGGAAGTGTAGAATTTTATGCAGAAGGTGGTGCCTAAATTCTGTCCTTTCAATCTCAAGAATTACGCATTTGTGCATAGGTAACTCATGCTAGAAAAATTCCTCTTTTCACCTAGACTAAACGTATACATCACCGTAAATACAACAATGGCCAGAAACCTTTATTTAGAGAGGTTTTTTGAGATAAGAACAAATATTTTGGTTTTTTCAGAAGTAAACATTGTATTAATGAGAGAACAGCATTTGCACACAGTGACACACTACTAATAACTGGATAACGTTTCGAGCGCATACTGTTACTCATAATCACATCAATCCATTCATCAAAACTCCTGATTTGCCTTGTATAGTTTTATGACATGATTTTTCATATATTTGGGATAGTCTTAGCATTATTTTATTTGCATATTTTTAGTAGTGATTCGACGAATAGAGAAAAGCTCGGTTATTACAATGTATTCACTTTCGTGCAATCACACATTATGGTGGGATAGAGTAGAAGTATTTAAAGGCAATACAGTTAGATAGACAGAGGGATTAACTAATGAACTTTTGTTAGGTAAATCAACACTGAACACGTCTAGTCGAAATGACGTAACACCTACCCCGCTTATATAAAAACTTGCATTAAACAGTGACAGAGTAAGGTTACATAAAGCGAGTTACGAGGTCATTTGAATATATTGAGATGATTATGAGCCTTAAAATGTGCCGAAAATGTCATCCACTTGTTCATAGTGTATGTATTCCTGTGTGTTACAGCCATTAAAGTTATTTAATATGAAATTATAATTATGTTGTCCTTTGGCACAAATAAGTTGCTGATAAAATAAATGCATGCGTTTGATCATCACTAGAATCCAATGCATTTTACTTACTAAGCGTGTTTAGGCACTGAAGTACAACGCGCAATTAAGCCCATATCTTTGCGGTAATATTTATAAAGAATGGAACACGTAATTAGGTACACATCTTAGAATATCAGCGTATCCAAACCACACGAATGTAGCTAGTATAATGAAGAATGATAAGTGCTGTCAGCAGGTTGAATGATATCCAAAAAATGTACATGGATTCTGAATATCACCATAAAATAAAATTGTGTTACAGTGTTATCAAAGTTCAGAATGAGTGCAGTTGGTCAGACTCATTAAGATACTTTTTATAAAAAGTAAAAATAACCTGCATTAATATTCTAGTGGAAAGAGTTGATTTTTAGTCAGACGATTATAAGCTTATAAAGTAGAAAATAATATATCCAACTTCATATTCTATCAAAGCACTAAAGTAATTGATTCATCTGTCAAAACTGTAGACTGAATATCTGCAGGTATTAAAACGAGGATCTAAAAAGCAGATTAAAGACCCAAAAACATAGGAACACACACGAAATAGGTGTAAACATGTACAGATACATGAAAATACATGAACACTCAAGATACAAAAGATGTGTATATGTTAACAGACCAATGTTTGAATTCTTGCAGTATTACAGTAATATTTAATATGAACCTTAGTCATGTATATGAAGCTGTGAAGGGTGATGGGTAATAGTGCTTGTTTGTCTTCGTTGTCCGTCGACTGTTTTGTTTGACCATCGGACGATTGGGTAATTTATTTTTGGTAACTTTGACATACACCATACTGACTTTTATTTCTGCTGACTAGTATACATATTACAATTTCGCAAAAATAAATTTACCCAGCGATACTAACCAAATTAAATTAACTACGCTAGAATCGCCTAAAGAAAATAAAATTTTATTTTTATTCCTTCACGTTCCCAGTGGAACATAGGACTTCAAGCTAAAGGCTTGAAATTTCTGCAGTAATGGTGATTATTTTTACAGGATGGGGTTGCTAGCCTCATGCTCAACCTTCCATCTGTACCAGTCATACTACTAGCTTAGCGAGGTATAGGAGTGCGTCGGCCGGGGATCGAGCTCCGGACCACCTGCATGGTCAGCAAGCATTCTACCACTGTGCAACCGACGCACATGATGCACGATGCTATCAGTAATTTGTTTACTATAACGGAATACTGTGGAAAGAACGTCCTAACAAGTTATCTTCCTTGTATTAATGGTGAAGTCGTTATTCCTACTGCTTTTCATTTCAAGTTGATAAATAGCCCAAGCACGACGTTATGGATATTGATACTTGATTAATTTTGAAGATAATAGTGTAGCTAGAGATAATTCCTAGTACTACTAAAAAATATATAATCCAATGTTATTCTTATTAAATAAAAAAGTTACATTATGAAACACTAATATTCCAACCAGACTAACACAGCCTAATATTGGAAATAAAAGTGAACATGTACCTGAAACTGCACTATCTACTTTCTAAACGCAGACGAGTACCTCAGATGAAGGATATGTGGGTCACCATCTGTATTTCTAAACCTATTCTACGAAACATGGTCAAATCACATCAGTAGCTCATTGTTTAATCATGTACATTGCATAGAATTAGCCAAATATTTAAAAGTATCCCTAAAAGAACCAACTAAAACACACACACACATTCACTTCGGGGTTATTTCAAATTGTGGAATGAATCTTACTGACGGATTTAAGCCTCGTAACTGTACCTCAAAAACTCGTTAGTTAAAAACTACGTATTCAATTAACAGCTTTTAATTTACCAAGTTTTAGTCAAGCTGAATTAACCGGTATTACTGATGATAATCAAATCACAGCATATACCCCCGGAAGCTTTACAAGATAACAATGGCTAGATTTTCTCACTGTTATCCTGTGATAAATGAAAATATTATATATTGACTGCAATCATTGTTAGTAAAACTTTCGCTGCAAGCGCATAGGACAATTACTGATAATCGTCTTTATTAAAGAGCACGAGTAAAGGATTATTTCTAGGTTTAGTGCACTACATTAAAGCAAAATGTTTGTAATTCTTAATCCTAGAATGCATAGCAATACTGTCAGTAATATTAGTAACAGAATTCCCGGTTTCACCATTGAGTAAGCTTGTAGTCCTCACTATTATAAGTGTGACTATCTGGTTTTTCCCAAAAAAGCTCGAAAAACAGGTTCAGCGATACGTTCTTCCGACTAGCATCTTATATGTGATACCAAACGAACTGAAATGCACCTTGGTGTCATTCAACCCTACTAGATGACAATACTGTACACCTCACCCATAGACTTCGATCAATATACTCAACACTAGACAACTGTAGTGATTAACACAGTGTATCACTTCGACATGCATGCGTAAATGTGTGCGCATTACAGGCATATTTCAGCATGAATTACAGAATCCGAGATTTATGGTTACTGCTGCTGTAGTTAGTTCCATGTGTTCCAAGTGGAACATGGGATTTTTACAGCATGTGTTCCCATTCGGGTTCCACTCGACAACCTGCATTGCATGTGGAGTCAGTCAACGGTCTTCTCAGAATATGTTCAGCCTATCTCCACTTCCATCTGCATATCTGTTGACTAATAGGATCTTGGCTGGTCTGCTTGTTGGTAGAGTTCCTAGTTAGTTGCTCATCTGATCCAGCTGGTAACGTGACCTTCGAAATTCAGCCAAAATGTTGGTGTAAACGTGCAATATGCTCTTGTAAATGCCTTTGGTGACGCGCCGGTCAATTCGATGAACCATCTACAAGCAGCGATTTGGATTTTTTGTTCATAATTTGGATATTGTTCGTTGTGCTGAATGCAGTAGACCCTCACGCTGGCCTCAGATTAATGAACGCTTGTCATGCTTTCCCTACCCGTTTCGCCGAGGTAAATGGAAGAGACAAATGATTCCCTTTCGATTATGGTCTGTTGTTTTTACTCAGTTGTCTTCATCATATCCGTCTTCTTCATATTCACCCGGAATCCAGTGTTCTCTGGCTCTTTCAACAGTTTATGGGTTTCTGCAAGACTTCGAGTTTGTGAGGCATGACATCTGAGAAATCCACGAAGTCTGAACCTTTTAAAATCCTTCAGTCTAATAGCAGCATGGTTTTAAGCCAATTCTTGCACAAGATGAAGTTATTCTTCCTTCCCAATTTCATAGGGTAGCCTTTCTTCCTTCCAAACTTTCTGCATTATATGCAGGAGCATGTATGCTGAAGTCTCTTAGTCCGTTTCTAGTGCTTTCGAGGGTATTTATTGTGATCCTCCTACTTTCTCAGGAGGACTTGAAGATATAAGAATAAAACTTGGGCACTGTGGTTGAGTGTAATTCCATTATGGGTAAATTTTATTTTGATAGGGTCTCACAGTGTTATACAGTAATATTTACTGATGACGTTTCGAGCACAATTTATTGCTCATAATCATATCAAATTGTGCTCGAAACGTCATCAGTAAATATTACTGTATAACACTGTGAGACTCTATCAAAATAAAATTTACCCATAAAGGACTTGAAGACTTCAGATTTTTCTGAATGGTGTCATTTTAACGATATTTTTGTGTCTGGTGGTGGTATTTCTGAACGAGTCGTAGTTGTTGATTGATTCAAGAGTTCCTGTATTCAACCTAGTTGACAATTGAGTTTCCTTTACTATCTTTGATTGATTACTTCTGCGCTGATCTTTTCCGTGATGGCCACATAGCTCTTAAGTACAATGTTGTGAGTCCTGTACTGCCTTCAGCTTTTTCTCCCTCAGTTATCACTGTATCGCATAAGTGTTATTTTGTCTTTCATGGAACATTTCTTCACTTCTTTGTTCAATGCTCTGTAGGTTGTATTCAACTTTTCCTTTGGTTGTTCATCTTCTTCACCATTCTTCTCAATTATGCTATCTTCCAGGTGTCCATTGTCAGCCATTATTATTCTGGCATCTTCTTACTGTCGAAGATGTCTCTACAAGATTCTTTCCGTAATGCTTCTAAAGAGTCCCAGTGTTTTTCGGTTCAGGTTTCCTCAGTAACATTGTCCAATGTCTCTGATCTTTTCTTTAGCCTTATGATAGGCCATATAAAACCGAAAGTTCAACCTTAGAAAGATTTCTCATGATCAACTCGAAAGTACTTGTTATTCGTAACTAAAATTTAAAACATTAGGCTGGATCTGTTTAAATGTTACTGAAAAGAGTAATTTGATTTATGTTTCAGCTATAAATCGTTGTAATCTAATGACTGATGTAACTCGTGCCCAACTACTCATATCAGTCGATTAGTAGCATATTGCGTCATACATCTATGCGTTTAGTTAGTCTAATATATATATATATATGCATATAAATGTACATATATATATAAATTTAGACTGTTGTTCAGATATGTAGCATGACACAAAGTGTATTCTGAAGATAAATCATCAGAACTGTAACTTTGAGCGCCTAACTTTGAAAATGTGAATATATATATTCCCATGAAAGTGAAGCATTAATAAATTTAATTTAAAAAACCCCTGTCGTGTTTTCAGACATACACCTTGAACAGTGCATTCTTCAAGGAATTTCTACTGTTCTAATCTTCTTTTTTTCTTCATTGACGACGTAATATGAATTAGTTGCAACACTTGTATAGTGCGATTTCTTACACTATCGAACTTTTGCGAATCGTATTTGTGAAGTTGGATTGTGACAGGAGGTTGTGAGAACAAGTGACGTATGCACAATGCCGCTAATATGCTATTTTCCGATCTGACAAAGAAGAAGCATTCTTTTGTAAAGTTTATCTTTGCAGACTTTGTGACTATGAGGCAATATAAAACTCATGCAAGAGTGGAATTCAGGAGCTGTAGCAAAATACAATTTCATATTAGATAAGTTTGTTCGATATAATGCACACTGATATAGTATCAGTAACTGGATGATGTGTCGAGCACAATTAACCACTCATAATCATTTCAGTCAATATACACTAATTCTCAGTTTGCTTTGTATAGTTTTATAATGTAATTTTTAATATATCTGATTTTGATTCCATGTATTTGGTATAAGATTGATGAACAAAGATTTATTATAGCGAAAATATTCATTCAGACATCCACAAAACACAAAATAATTGAGCCAAGAATATCCTTTTCGATAAATTCCTCTTCTGGCTCTACATTTATACATATGTTTATATACATAGAATATTCTAGATTAGTAGTCACTAACAATATTAGTGTTTTTTTAAATAATATGGATTTGTGAAGTAAGATCAATGGAATTACAGTTAATCAAAGATGCTTAAATTATAATAATAGTAAAGATATAATAGCAAATAGAATATCAACTAAAATCAGAAGAAACTCCACAAAAATTCAGGTTCATTCAAATCTAGATGGCCATCAGATTTCCGAATATCACCCTGCATGGTTAAGTAAAAGACAAACAAAATCTATTTGTAGAGCTATTCCTTCTTATCTTGTGGGTACAGAATACAAGATTAATGTTAGTCAAGCTTTCAAAGTCATTTACCGCATACCAACAAATCTCAATTTCGCCTTAAGAGTTCGACTACTAAATATTGCTGAGGCTGTTGGGATCCACATTAAGAAGCCTAATTTATGCGTCCAAAAGAAGCTGGTTCAGACATTATCCTTACCTTGGCCATCTAGGTTTGAATGATCCTCAATTTTTGTGGAGTTTCTTCTGATTTTAGTTGATATTCTATTTGCTATTATATCTTTACTATTATTATAATTTAAGCATCTTTGATGAACTGTAATCCCACTGATCTTACTTTACAAATCCATATTATTTAAAAAACACTAATATTGTTATTGACTACTATTCTAGAATATTCTATGTATATAAACATGTATATTTATAATTGTAGAGCCAGAAGAGTAAATTATCGAAAAGGATATTGTTTGCTCAATTATTTTTGTTTTGAAGATTTATTAGTTCACCTCCTCTACGCATAAGTAATATAGTTTAGTTAGAAAGGTTAATCGAAAAACCTGCGTCCACTGAATCAAGACCAAATATATGCGACGGAAGTGAAATGTCGCCTGTCCCTTTTATATGAAAAATTACATTTAAAAGCACATTAGGAAGTCGTGTAAATACATGCCTATGATTATAAGTAATCAGCTGTTTCCAAAACGGCATCCAGTCAGTAATACTACTTTAGCATCAGATCAACTTAGCTAACAGGGGGCATGAAACTCAGTCTTTGGATTGTTTGCTATTCATAAGGAAATAATGACCGCCACTGTACACTGTAACCCAATATTCACGTTTCTCTGATTTTTTCTCCAGTTCAAAAGTTTGCCAAAGTTCAAGAGTGAGTTACAGTGTTTATTATCAATCATTATGTTACTAAAAGCGTACGTGTCTAACAGTTTGAATAACCTGCCGCATAAATTCTTTATGACTGATTCATCAATGAATATCAGGAACTTAGGGTAAGCGGAAAAATAAATGCTAAAAACAACAACTAAGTAGTCCAATACTATAAAATTGTTACATATGCATCTTTACGCCTACTTTCTACAGACTATAAACTGAAACTAACTATATATATTATGTATGAAAGTATTCACTTTATTCATTCAGTATCATGTTAAATGATATCGTATTTCATTTCACACTCTTAAGTTGTTTTCTTTTTGTTTTTTTCGTACCACTGTTTTCAAAGCATATAGTGCAACACTTTTTATATTCAGTGAATAAATCAGTGCACAACACAGTGTAGGCTGCTGTGTGCACATCTCATATACCAACTTACAAAGTCTACACAGACAACCTGCCTAACGAAAAAGCCTGTTCTGCAATATTTGATACACATAAAATGTTTGTTACTACCAAATCTGTTTTGATTAATTATTTTTGTCTACTGATGATAAGGCAATTCATCCAGTGTCTAAGTCTTGCTGTTCACTAATAATGGTATGGTATTAATTATTAAGAGAAAAAAATATATTTTTCGAAATTTTCTATAGTTGGTTTGTAAGGATTAGTTTTTGTTTTTACGAGTTGATCACGGACTGATATCAGTTAAAGAACCATTGAAAACCAGCCACAGAGACTACTGGATACCTGTTTCATCCTAGTTTTGAGAATCATCAGCACTACGCACACACTGCCACCGTTCGAACCCAGGACCTTCAGGTTACAAGGTAAGCTCGTATACCATTCAGCCACTGGGACCCGCTTCAATGACCAAGCCATGAATTCTAACTCCTACCAATTCGTGATTTTAGCGCGACCCCAGTCAATGTCGTCGTTGGGACATCTATCCTCATACGTGGCTGGGTGCACCTCATTGGTCACGACTTCTCACCAGAACTCCAGGAAACTCCGTCTGTTGTTATTTTTCGTCAAGTAATCACTATTGGAACCTTCTTTCATATTAAATCTACTGCAAGTTTTGAAGAATGTAAGGTGAGCTACACTAGGCATGAATGCTCATTACACTATCTCACTATCCAGCATGGAGTAGTTAGTGTGGGGTTTGGACGTGAGAGTAGTTGGATGAAATTCGGGTATATTAGTTAAACCGTCATAATTTCTATGATATCATGACTAGACTATCTGCCACAAGACCGTTTCAAAAAATGCAGCAGTAAGAATAATATTCTAATCAGAATAAATATTCGCATTTCCAAGATACATATTTTCAAAATGAACATACACTTCTGAGGTCTTCTGGAATACTCATTACCACGTAATGCTGAGAAATTACGATGTTTGTTTTCATTGTCCAATAAATTCTTATCTCAGTGACCTTTAGGCCTATTGAAAATGACTAAATCTGTCAGACTATCAAAAGTTTAACTTCAGTGAGTTGCACAGAGAATTAGTTATGCATCAAGTAGCCATCAGTTTCCTTCTTTCTAGTGGAAATTCATATTATATTGATTTGTGATCAAGATTGGATTGAAGTTATATACATATAAATCTGGATTTTCCTTTCCAAAAATACTTATCATGACAGAATGTGAAACAAAGAAAAACAATTGGTGGTTACAGAAAAAACTCAAAAAAAGAAAAAGAAATTAAACTTACATAAGTTTGAAGATGGTGGGTTGATTTTGACCGGTTTGGGACGTGGGAACATTTTGTTTAATTTTATCTGTTTTCAAGAGAGAAAGAACAAAAAAGAAGTGGAAATTATTGAGAAAATCAAACAACAAGTTGATTTCCATAAAAGTTGAAAAACAGTATCACTGAAAGCCTGAGATATCATTCTGATAATTAACCAACTTGTTAAGTGGAGGCTTGCATCCCTGAGAGGACGAGATTCGCTAGTTTAACGCTGTATTTAGAAGCAACCATACAAATACAAGTGAGCATAATAGTAGTCACAGTGATCTTATCAATCTATGGCCATTTCACTGCATTGAAACTTAATTCATCAGTTGTATACTGGAAAGAGGACAGATTAAACACGCACAAAACTGTTCAAACTATCCACTATCTATTTAGTTGACTTGGCTGGTATGCACAAACACTTCAAAGATGAGAAGTTACTCAGCGGTCCTACTTTAGTGTCGACAAGGATTTTTCGAGAAACTAACAACTAAGGACAACAAATTTTCGCCTGTGACAAAAGTGTCACGTTTTTCATTGAGAAGCTTCTACATGTTTGTCTGCAGAGATTTGATGAATTTCAGGTCAGATCACGAACCAACCTCAGCTAAAGAACTATTGAAGATAAGGAAGTACTAGATTGTTGTTTCCTACTGGTTAGGAACTCCATAGTTTCCCGACTGATGTTTTTGCGTGATCATATTTGAAATCATTCAAGTCCCTAAACTTGCTGATTTTCATACTATATATATATCGCTCTCATATTATGAAACAACGAAACACATATTGAAAAAGTATCTTTAAAGTTCCTCAAAAGTGCAAAAGCTGAAAAGCTTTTGAAACTTTTAAGTATACTCCTTAGTAAATTTGATGAAAGCGAAATTGGTGTGAATTACTTCAAAAGGATTGATGCTTAAATCTACCTGTATACACTCTTGAATGCGGTTTATGTAAAGAAGATTAGAAGAATGACAAAATCTCACTTGGTTTCATAAAATAAATTATCTATATAAAAAGGATTAAAGTAGTTTTGACTGAAGTAGTCCTGTTATTTCCCCACCACATTTCTAAATTTGACCGGCAGTTATCTTACTGGCAGAAATTGATAGGGTAGCAGCGAAATCTCTGAGCAGATATTTGCAGTGACGCAAGTTTACGTCCTGAGTTTTCAGTGGTTAGTCACTCCTACTGTAGTGAAGTAAGTTAACTTTTTCAGTTTTCGCTTTGAAGAACAAAATTACCGCTCTGCATAACTCGTTAAAAAATTGGCAAGTGTTGCACTATTTATTCCGTTTATTACACAGCATAATGAGAAGATTCAGATGGACTAAGCAGTTTAGTTACTTCATAGGAAGAATGTTAGTTTTATACCTTTTAAGACTTCACTTTTCTTTGTCAGATGTTTTTTTGGCGCCTTAAATGTGGCTGTTTTCTAGGTTGTTGAGTCCGAATGAAGACAACCCACCTGATGCACAAGAATGACTAAGGTGATTGGTTTAATATGCCATGAAATATATGTCACATAGTTATCCTTTGTAAATTTGTATGTGTTTACAAATAAAGTTTTCAGCTGGTCACTTCATAGTTTTAATTGAATACTTATGCATTACCTTTGTTCCTTAGTCACTCGTTACTTCCTTACAACAGATCGCATTCTTATCTACTCAACCGATTCAGTATATTCTGTAATTAGGAAAGATTTCCAAATAACCATTTTTGAAGTCATTTAACATAGAAAGAAGTTATCAATGCGTCATTTAATAATGTAACATAATTTAAGCTGAAAATATTTTCATGTTGTGTAGAACAAATGATGACGGTTATTTTTATGAAGTCTACAGGGTTTTAATGTTAATGTGAGCTATGCGATTGCAGCTTTCTTCTTAAATATTTTAAACTCTTCTTACCAAAATAGTTCTTTTTCATTGCCAAAGAATCTGTAATGACCAGTGGTTACAATCTCTTCATGTCGCCAACTTTTCCAGGTTACTGGATCTCATGGTCATTTTGTTGGCGATTGTCTAATTTCATGATTGCTGAATATTTTAAATTTTTTAAGAGATCTCTGGTGGTTCTGTTCAAGAGGAGTAACTCAGGCTCATCTAAGTTACTGATACTACTAACTTCATATTCCAACACTTCTTTAACATGTATTATGGAGAGAATCGCAGTCTGCCTTTTATGTTTAGTAATATAATTTTTTTAAATATTAGCATAATTTCCTGCATCCAGAATCTTAGTTCAAAACTGCAGCACAACAAAATTAACCCATTCTATTTATTTTATTTCCATCCTTGTTTTGTAGAAGCATTTATAACTGTCTAACTGAACTGTATAGAAAAAGCGGGGATTACTTGATGCATAAATTTTCAAATTATTTACTTTCTAGGAATGCCGCATAAATAAGAGACAAAATGCGTTTTTGTCCAACTTGGAAATAAATTGTTTTCATGTCATTAAAACATTATCGAGGGAAATAGACAACCGTTTTCCTGTCAGAGTAAAACTCTGATTATTGATTTCACATTTGTTTGCAGTGACTGATCATTGTTGTTCATTTGCATTCAAAACAAAATTGAAACGCTGACAGACAGTGCTTAAAAGTTGAAAATAATGAGCTGAGTAACGAATCTATGCTCGTGTTTAAATTTATTCCCTAAGCTTTTCTACCTTCACTATTATTCTACGGGTAACTATGAGCATAAAGTTAACAAGAATTAGACAATTTTACCAGAATACAGCATACCGGTGAACACTTTGTTGTTGAACAATCGAAGAAAAACAACTGCTGACTTCACCTAATCGCTCGAGATTAAACTGCAATGTCTAATTTACTACAACTCCTAGAGGTTTAGGTCCTAAAGAAATTGAGTATTCCACATATATTTTGTTTTTGTTTTTCCACTCCTATTTACTTACTTCTGGAGAGTCGCGAAGCTTTAGAGATTTTGATAAAAGAAAGAACCAGTGTTTTTGACGACATAATTGAGTTTATTAACTTTCTTCCTGACTGAAAACCTCTAGGTAGATAAGGTTAAGTGCCTCATTCATTTATTTCCTTTATAGCATGGTCAATCCATATTTAAACGTAAATTGTGCACCTAATAATTGGAAAGAAATTTATTTAAAGTGCTATTGAACGCTGTCTTGTCCGTATCAACCTCATTTAGAGGTATTTGTCAATATTCCCCGAAGAGTTCTAGAACCGTAATCACATCTGGTTCCCTGTATATGTCAGTCTTGACGGTGAAGTTAGAGGGTCTTTATCTTGCTCCATTACCATGCTACAGAAGCGCTTCCTTGTCTTCCTGCTGGTCTGTCCAACTCTGCCACTAGTTCCCAACCATATTGATGGTGATATCGTATATACTACTTATTGGCCGACAGACACAAGTAGTCAGAAGTCACATGGATCAACCATTGGTGCTTGTTGCAAGATCGAAGTGACGTAAACACCGGATTATCGTCGAGCAAGTTCGGAGACATGCCTACCAACTACGTCCTCGGTTCAGCTCAGCTTACAGAGCCGAATCATTTCAGACCACTAGGATTCTGGTTATTTCCTTGAGCAAACTGGGAAAACGTAGAATCATACATTTCAGTTATAAGTAACTGAATTCCATGTGAGAAATCCATAATACTTTTTTGAAAAGTCGAAACAATGACGGTATTAAAACATGTGGGCTGTTTTATACCATAAATGAGAATGAAGAAAGCAATAAAAATAGCGTGATACTATATACTAATGGTCATCTGACGAGTAAATGTAAACCGCCGACGTGAAACAGCCCTGGTAACAGGAACGAAATCGACTAATAGATACACTCAAAGTAATGCATTTCAATAATTGAAAAGCAGTAAGCATAAAAGATAAATAACCTCCAGAACTGATTTGTTTATCTGAAATCATTCATGGTACCAAGTATTTTGTGCATGCCTAAGCCAAGCGTTGTAGTGTTAACCTGTAGCTTTAAGATTGGTAGCGATTAAAAGCCTAATTAACCGAACGTTTTTGCCCCTTAAATTGATGTGAGGAGATATTTTGAGGAAAGAGACTAATAGAAACCATCGGAAATATGCAGGCATAATTACACTGTTCCTTAAAATAAATATCACCAGTCTTTTTAATAACTTTATCAGGCATATCCTATTTAAATATTTTTTATATTTTATTAATAGCAAGGTTACTTTAGTCCAGCTATTTTGAAGGATAACACAAGATCCACATATTCTATTTCACTAATTCAGTTTTCTGTAAATTGTAGGGAAGGGTCGAAACTTGTGGATTTCCTTGACAGACAAACATAACTGTTCAGTTACTTTCTATGATGCTGTTACAACTACTCAACAGTCAACTCTGAGTGACTTTTGAAAATGCTGCACTTAGATGACTTCACCGTTTGGAAGTTTTTGTTGTGTTTTCTTATGCGACAGTATTTCATGGGGAGTAGAAAGTTTTACTGAATAACCGAATCACAGAATTTCATTTTAGTACCATCAGTCGATAGTGGTAAACACTGAAGCAAATAGTCAGTTGGTAGTGGGTAAATGTTGTCAACCAGAAGTTAAATTTCTCGAATTTCAACACTATTTTAATTTTCACCATGATAAAAAGAAATTTTTAAAAAATTACTCATTTTTTCAGGTTTCTTCCAATACTTCATCTGACGGTGGATAACACTTGCTAACCATTACAAAAGTGGCTTATTGCGCTAAAAAAGTTCAGCATTTTGGGGTGCCATAGAAAATTGTGGTAGTTTTTATTATAATTCCCAACAGATATATTGGGTTTGATGTAATGAAGTTTTTTGTGGTGTAACACAGTAACTCCAGAAAAATGCTGCTTGTTATCTCCTTGTGGGATTTCAGTTGAACCAGAAGTCACTGAACAAAATGGAAATGAAACCACTGTGATGAATACTTTCTAATGGAGCTATATGAAAGCATCTTATACATGAATAATGTCCATTTATCTTATTTCTGAGAAGGAATAATTAACACAACCTGACATTTAAATACTGTTACTTTCTTGCTTAATACAAA